CCATGTCCATTGGTCATGCATACATGCATATAAGTTCTGTGGTTTATCTCTTCCCACCCTCCCACCTCCGCACCCCCTCTTCTGAGGGATGTCAGTCTGTGCCCTACTTCCATGTTTCTGGGTCTACTGTATTCCGCAGACTGTTATGTTCATTATATTCCGTATATAAGTGAGATCATGTGGTATTTGTCTTTTTCTGCTTGGCTTCTTTAACTTAGGATAATACTTTCCAGGTCCCTCCATGTCGTCGCAAAGAATAAAAGATCTTTCTTTCTTACCACTGCATAGTACTCCATTGTGTATATGAACCACAGCTTTTTTATTCATTCGTCTACTGGTGGACACTTGGGCTGTTTCCAGATCTTAGCTATTGTAAATAGTGCTGCTATGAACATGGGGGTACATATATTCTTCCTGATTGGTATTTCAGGCTACTTAGGGTATATTCCCAGCAGTGGGATTACTGGGTCGAATGGAAGTTCAATTTTTAATTTTTTGAGGTAGCACCATATTGTTTTCCATAGCGGCTGCACCAGTCTGCATTCCCACCAGCAGTGTATTAGAGTCCCCTTTTCTCCACACCCTCGCCAACACTTGTTGTTTGATGATTTGTTGATGGCGGCCATTCTGACAGGTGTGAGGTGATACCTCATTGTTGTTTTAATTTGCATCTTTCTGATGATTAGTGATGTTGAGCATTTCTTCATATGTCTTTTGGCCATTTGTATGGACTGGTTGGAGAGGTGTCTATTCAGCTCCTCTGCCCATTTTTTAATTGGGTTCTTTGTCTTCCTTTTGTTGAGTTGTATGAGCACTCTATATATATTGGAAATTAACCCCTTATCTGATACATCATTGGCAATGATGTTCTCCCATACAGTGGGTTGCCTTTCCATTTTGATGATTGTTTCTTTTGCTGTGCAGAAGCTTTTTAGTTTGATGTAGTTTCATGTGTTCATTTTTTCCTTTATTTCTGTTGCCTTAGGTGATATATCAGTGAAAGTTCTGCTCTGTATGATGTCCGAAATTTTGTTTCCTACATTTTCTTCTAGAATTTTTATGGATTCACTGGTCACATTTAAGTCTTTTATCCATTTTGAGCTTATTTTTGTGTATGGTGTAAGTTGATGGTCTAGTTTCATTTTTTTGCATGTAGCTGTCCAATTTTCCCAACACCATTTATTAAAGAGGCTGTCTTTACTCCACTGTATGCTCTTGCCACCTTTGTCAAATATTAATTGAGTGTATTGCCTTGGGTCCATTTCTGGGTTTTCAGTTCTGTTCCACTGGTCTATATGCCTGTTCTTGTGCCAGTACCAGGCTGTTTTGGTTACAGTTGCTTTGTAGTATAACCTGATAACTGGTATTGTGATCTCACCTACTTTGTTCTTTTTTTTTTCAAGATTGCGGTGGCTATTCGGGGTCTTTTTTGGTTCCATATGAACTTTTGAAGTATTTGTTCTAGTTCTATGAAATATGTCGTTGGTATTTTGATGGGGATTGCATTGAATCTATAGATTGCTTTGGGTAGTATGGACATTTTAATGATGTTAATTCTTCCAATCCATGAACAGGGTATGTGCTTCCACTTTTTTATATCTTCCTCTATTTCTTTTTTCAATGACCTGTAGTTTTCTGGAAATAGGTCCTTTACTTCTATGGTTAAGTTTATTCCTACGTATCATAATTTTTTTGGCGCGATGGTAAATGGGATTGTTTTTTCAGTTTCTCTTTCTGTGAGTTCATCATTGGTGTACAAGAATGCCGTCGATTTCTTGACGTTAATTTTGTATCCTGCTACTTTGCCGAATTCATTTATTAAGTCTAGTAGATTTTTGATGGAGTCTTTAGGGTTTTCTATGTATAATATCATGTCATCTGCAAATAATGACAGTTTCACTTCCTCCTTTCCAATTTGGATCCCTTTTATTTTTTCTTCATGTCTGATTTCTGTGGCTAAGACTTCCAGTACAATGTTAAATAAGAGTGGTGAAAGTGGACATCCCTGTCTTGTTCCTGATCTTAATGGAAATGTTTTTATGTTCTGTCCATTGAGTATGATGTTGGCTGTAGGTCTTTCATATATGGCCTTTATTATGTCGAGATATGATCCCTCTATTCCTACATTGCTGACCGTTTTTATCAAAATGGATGCTGGATTTTGTTGAATGCTTTTTCAGCATCTATTGATATGATCATGTGGTTTTTATTCTTCATTTTGTTTATGTGGTGTATCACGTTTATTGATTTGCAAATATTGGACCAGCCTTGCATCCCTGGAATGAATCCCACTTGGTCATGGTGAATAATTTTTTTGATGTATTTCTGGATCCGATTTGCTAATATTTTGTTCAGGATTTTGGCGTCTATGTTCATCAGGGATATTGGCCTGTAGTTTTCTTTCTTCATAGTGTCTTTTTCTGGTTTTGGAATTAGAATTATGCTGGCCTCATAGAAAGTGTTTGGAAGTCTTCCTTCTTCTTGAATTTTTTGAAATAGTTTGAGGAGAATGGGTGTTAGTTCTTTTTTGAATGTTCGGTAAAACTCCCCCGTGAAGCCCTCTGGGCCTGGGCTTTTGTTTGCTGGGAGAGTCTTGATTACCTCTTCAATTTCCTTAGTTGTTATTGGTCTGTTCAAGTTTTCTATCTCTTCCGGGAATAGTTTTGGGAGACTGTGTGTTTCTAGAAATTTGTCCATTTTGCTTAGATTGTTGAATTTGTTGCCATATAGTTGTTCATAGTAGTTGTTAATGATCTTTTGTATTTCCCTGGTGTTGGTTATTACTTCTCCTCTTTCATTTCTGATTTTGTGTATTTGGGTTCTCTCTCTTTGTTTCTTGGTGAGTCTAGCTAAGGGTCCATCAATCTTGTTTATCTTTTCGAAAAACCAGCTCTTTGTTTCATTGATCCTTTGAATTGGTTTTTTTTTTTTTTTTTTTTTTGGTCTCTATGTCATTTATTTCTGCTCTGATCTTTACTATTTCCTTCCTTCTACTTGCTCTGGGATTTTCTTTTTGTTTGCTTTCTAATTCTTTAAGTTGTGAGGTTAGACAGTCAATTAGAAATTTTTCCTGTTTTTTGAGGTAGGCCTGTAGTGCTATGAACTTCCCTCTCAGAAATGCTTTCACTGCATCCCATAGATTTTACACACATGCTTTTAATGGAATGAAATGTTGACACGTTATAACATGGAGGAACCTTGAGTATATTACACTTTGTGAAATTAGCCAGTCACATAACACTGTATGACTCCATTTATGTGAGGTACCTAGAATAGGCAAATTCATAGAGACAGAATGTAGCATGGAGGTTACCAGGTGCTGGGGGTTGGAGGGGCAGGAGTTGTCGTTTAATGGGTACAGAGTTTCTGTTTGGAATGATGAAAAAATATCTTAAAATGGATAGCAGTGATGATTGTACTCCATGTCAAAGTACTTAATACTACTGAATTGTCCACTTTAAAATGGTTAAAATGGTAAATTTTATGTTATGTATATTTTACCATAATAAAAAAAAAAGTGGAAGGAAGCAAAAGAAGAGTTCATTGCAAAGTTTCTGGTTTTGAAGATGGAAGAAGGGGCCATGAGCTACAGAATAAGGCAGTTGGAAAGGGCAAGGAAACAGATTCTCCCCTAGAATGTCCAGAAAGGAATGCAGAGCCCTGGGACACCTTGATTTTAGCCCAGCAAGACCTATTTGGATTTCTGACCTCCAGAATTATAAGACATACATTTGTGTAAAGTTAAAAATATTGTTACCACCACCAAAAACAAATTTAATTTTGTTTTAAACTACTGCCTTATCTTTGTGAAGATTAACAAACAGAAATTGCATTTAAGTTGGAGCTGGGAGAGCCTGTAGGGGCGCTCTTATGTTATCACTCATCCTCAATTACCCCAAAATAGGAAGAGAGTATTTTCCATCCCCACCAGGAAGGTGTTTTTCTACTCTTCTATTCCAGTGGGAGGAAAGATTTTCTCTTTACCTGCTGGCAACCATTCAGACAATAAGAGACTGTTACAACTCAGCCAATGAAAAGCCACTACACTTACAATTCCCAGTTAAGTCAATGGACTCTTTGTTTACAACAGGCCCTCTGAGATCCCCCTGTCCTCTTTAAAACAATGGTACTATCTTTTGGAATTGTGAGTAGCTTGCCATTAGACTACATGTCCTGCGTTGCAATTAGTTGTTGCAAAATGAACCCATTTTGCTGGAGAAATAGCTGGTTGTCTATTTATTTAACGTCAACAGTAGATATTCTGTTGACACTTACCTCAAGAAAACCATTGTTCCGTTCCCTACACCACCCAAACCTGAACCTAGCTAACTAAGCTTCTACCTGAGGATAAAGGTCATAGAGCTGATGGCTCCCAAGTAGAGTGCCAGATATAACGAATGAAAATACAGAGCCCAAAACAAACAAAAGACCTACAATCAGTTAAACGTGAAATGATCATGCAATATTTGGGACATATACTAAAAAACTAATGGTTGTTTATTCAACATTTACATTTAACTGAATATCAGTACTTTATCTGGCAAACCCTATTCCTGGGCCTCATTCAATGAGACCACACACAAGAATTTTGGGCCGTTTTGCACTTAATAAAAAAAAAAAAAATTAAACGGATAGATTTGTCATTTTTAAAAATCCGATTTCCAGATTCTCTTTACAAATGTGTCCTTGCCCTTCCTGGCCGATCTTCAGTCGCCCTGGCACGCGGGCAACTAGCGCAGGTGCAAAGCCGCCTTCCTAGCTGGAGAGTCGCGGACTGGATCCAGCTCAGAGAGGCCTCGGTAATTCGCAGAGCGGTTCCGGGGCTTGGGGGAGTGGTCTCCCGTCGTCTGAGGCTCTGAGGGCCAGCAGCTGTCATCTAAGAGGACCTGCCAGCGCCCTCCCTCCTTCTCTGTCCTCCCTGATTGGTCTGTTTATACTGCCAGGCCGCACAAGCCCATATTAGGCAGTGCAGGTCAGTCAGGCCTGTCGCCAGTCGTCTGCCGGCCCTGTGCCCTCCGGACTCCTGAGTGTCCTGACAGCCACCGGCCCGGCGGCCACTGTGAAGCCAGCGGGGTTGTACCTCAAGCAGGTCAGTACTCCGTAAGTCACAGAGTGATGGCGAAACGTGGGGCATCTTAAAGCCTTGTTTTAGGTGTAGTGCTTCCCTTGTGTTGCCCTGCCGCCAGCTCTTTCCAGCAGGGCTCAGCTCAGCAGTAGCCTCATCCTGGAGATCATCTCTACCCAGCCAGGGCCCTCCTCCCTCCTTCCTGTAACATTATTCAGTTTGGTAGCCTTCATGGTGTTATCATTCTCTGAATTATCTAACTACTTGATCATTTGCCTTCTTTACTAGACTGTAAGCTCCAGAAAGGTAGAGGCATGCCTCTCTCTGTTCAGGTTGTTTTGCTAGAACCCTGAATAGTGCCTGGCACTTTAAAATGTTTCAATAAACATCGAAAGTATCCCCAGGGTAACTCTCTTAACTTTAAAACCAGAAATATAATTGCCCTGCATTTCCCTCCCCCTCCACACATGTGATTCTTAAGCAGAAATAATGAGCTATAATGCATCTTAAAGCTCTTTGAGAAGTATAAAGCATGGTGAGAATGAAAAACATTGTGAATTCCTCAAGGAAAGGAAAAAGAAACCTGTCTTGTTTAGCTTTACCATTCATATGCTTGGCCATTATTAAATGCCTAGTGTGGGGGATGATTATTACTGTTAAATGATTCAAGCATTTGTCCATACTAGTGGGAGACTCAGAGTGCATTTAGGGTAATGCACGTGTTCTGAGCCATTTTCTACCAGTGTCTACACAAGATGGAGATACTGAAACAAATTAGGGTATGGGGATGTAATAATAAAAACCAGGGTTCACAAACTTAAATAGCTGTAGGATAACTAAAGTGGCAGGGGTGAGAAAAGCAACAGCAGAGGAAGAATTACAAATGATAACTGGTACTGAGGTCTCAGTGGGGGACAATGGGGGCTGGGAAATATGAGAATAGATGTGCCATCTGAGAGGTAGCAACTGGCTACTCAAGTCCTGCATATTGTTGTTGCCATGGGAATTAAGGGCTCACTGTTGCCATATTGTCCATTATTTTCTTTCTTCAAATATTTTCATTTATTTTCAGAGAAAAAGCAAGGGAAAGGGAGAGAGTGAAAGAAATATCTATGTGAGAGCAGACATCCATTGCCTGCCTCCTGCACGCCCCCTACCAGGGATCTAGAACAACCCAAGCATGTGCCCCGACCAGGAATCAAACCAGTAACCCTTTGGTGCATGGGACAGTGCCCAACCAACTAAGCCAAACTGCCCAGGACTGTCTCAACAAATGCTAGAATGTTTCAATTTTGCTTGTTGACAACTAATTTACTAAAATAAATAAATACATAAATAAATAAATAAATAAATAAATAAATAAATAAATAAATAAATCATAGAAAAAGAAAAGTGAGCAGACATTTTGAGATCTCTGGCTTCAGTTATTCTCTAAGAACAGGAACCAAATTCCTGAGAGCACACGGTGACTGGGAATTCATTTTGAGAGTAGGAGTGAGAAGTGGGTGTCACAATGTATCAAGTTATAGGCAAGGAAATCAAGTTAACGATTCTGGGTGATTTATTAAACTTGGGCAAAAGGATGACAACTTGAAGAATTGAACACAATTTTTATATGTGGAAAAATATAATCAAGATAGTGATTTATCAACATGTATAAAATATAAAAGAAAAAGATTATCATGAACTTGTAATTTAGTACTAAGCAAAGCACTCATTTAATTGCATAAATGATATTGAGCAACTCTAATGTGCCAAGCATCATCACAGACAGATGTTAAGAATACAGAAATGATTACGGCATGAACTCCCTACCCTCAGTGTGCTCATCATTGAAAGAGGAGGCAGGTATATGCCTAAATAAATTGCAGCAACAATAGTGCAACCACTATGGTTAAGGTACAAGCAAGGAAGGGCAGAGGAGGCTTCACTGAGGAAGAACCAATTAGATTTTTTCAGGTATAAAGGCATGTTTGCATTTTTTGGTGGTTCAGTACTACTAAAAGATTGAAAACTGTAAGGAAGGAAAGTTAGGAGATGAGGAAGAAAAGGTTAGGAGATGCCAAATTGTGAAGTGCCTCATAATGACTGATGAGGTGTAGGGTTGCTGAAAATAGGCTCAAGATAATTTTTTTTTCTTTATTGATCTTAGAGAGAGAGGAAGGAAGAGGGAGAGAGAGAAACATCAATGATGGGGAACATCAATTGGCTGCCTCCTGCATGCCCCACACTGGGGATCGGGCCCACAGCCTGGGCATGTGTTCTGACCAGGAATCGAACTGGCAACCTCTTGGTGCATGGGTCAATGCACAACCTCTGAGACACATTGGCTGGACCAGGCTAATTTTTTAAAATATGGGTACTTGATAGTGTCAACCCATGGTCATTGGTTCCAATTCAACACCAACAGGAATCCCTAGTTTGGGGTGTGGTAAAGAAGGAAACTTCATTTAGTGCAAAACAGCTCAACTGTGATACAGCATGACTGTGAAAACAGCACAACTGTGAGGCAGTCTTGGGGCCAGGCCCCTCTCCTGCTAGACAGTTCTACACCCCAGTGGTCTGTTCTGTTCTGCTCCTTGCCACTCTGCTTTGCACTGAGCTGTTCTTCTCTATTGTGCTTTGGTCTGCACTGTTGTGTGCCAGTCTGCTCCACTCAGCTCTAGGGAGAATTTTCAGTATTTCAGCTCAGCCAGGAAAACAAAGTCTTCAGTCTTTATGGGAAAGGGAAAGTGAGTTCTCAGAGCCAGAGGGGAGCCAGCTTATGTGGACAGAAATGACCAACCCTGGTTCCTGATTGATCTGTCCTGGTGCAAATGAGGACTCCAAATCCTTGCAGTTTGATTGGTCCAAAGGTACTGTCCTGATTGGTCAGAATAGAGTTGCTCTGGTTGGTCAGAGCTGCACAGCTCTAGTTGGGTGGGGAAAACCTCAGTCCTATTGGTTGAAATAGGATTCCAGGAACTCCTTTATAAGGGCTGGCTCAGATAGCAGAAACACAGTGCAGGCAAGTAGTTCAGTGCAGAGGCATGAAGTTCAATGCAGGCCTCTCACTAAAGTGCAGTTTGAGCTAAAGGCCTCTGTAGAAATTACTACTAGGTTCTTTGTTTTAATTCCCATTAAACCAGGAGTAGGAAGTATTGTTTCTGCCTTTCCGCCAAAGCAGTTCTCATTCAGACTGGATAAGTAGGCTGTAAGCTTTTGTATTTTCCAATCACATAAATTAAGCTGCATATACCTAGACAATTAAAAAATATATTATGTATCTCTATGTATATATATGCATATACATACACAGAGACATGGTATATGATGTGGGTTAAGTTTTCAAAGGTATAAGTTATTTAACTTTTATTTTAAACTTAGTATATGCAATATTTAAGACATGTAAAAGGGTATAAAGAACAATTTTGTATTGTGTACCTGCCATACAGCTGGTGAAGTTAAAATTGAGTCTGCATTGGTCGTGCGGGTGGCAGCCACTCGATGTGTCCCTTCACGTCGATGTTTCTCTCTCTCCCCCTTCCTCTCTCTCCCTCCCACTCTAACTGTACAAAAAAAAATGAAAAAAAAAAAAATTGAGTCTGCAGTTGAAATTCCTTGTCCTCCTTCTGCAATTGCATCCCCCTCCTTCCCAGCCTCCTGATAGGCAACGATTATCCTTAATTGGATGTTTATAATTACCCTTCATTTATTTATATTCTACTACATTTGTATGTATCCTTAAAGAATATATAATTTTTTAACTTTTTATTTTTATATAAGTTCAAGTTTACAGAAAAGTTCTAAGAATAGTACAAAAACTCCCATATACCTTTCCCAGATTCAGCAATTGTTTATATTTACTTTGTCAGAATTTATCATCTCCATTTACTCTTTTAGAATATATAATATTTTTGCATATTTAAAACATATCTGCCCTGGCCGGTTTGGCTCAGAGGTTAGAGCGTCGGCCTGCGGTCCTGAGAGACCCGGGTTCGGTTCCCGCTAAGGGCATGTACCTCGGTTGCAGTTTGTCCCCGGCCCTGGTTGGTTGTGCGGGTGGCGGCCACTCGATGTGTCCCTTTCACATCGATGTTTCTCTCTCTCTCTTTGTTCCTCTCTCTCCCCCCCACTCTACCTGAACAAAAAATGGAAAAATGTCCTCTGGTGAGGATAAATAAATAAATATACTGCCATAAAAAAATAGAAATAAAAAAATAAAATAAAACATATCTACATTTTTTCACTCATTATTATGTTTGTGAAACTCACCCATGTTGATACATGTAACTGTAGTTCATTATTTTTGTTTGTTTCTTTGTTTTGTTTTTTGTGCTGTAGTATTCTCTCTTTTCTATTAATGGATATTTAGGTTATTTCCAAATTTTTGCTGTTTCAAATAGCGCTGCTATTAACTACTTTTAATTTTAGCAAAACATGGAGGCATGGTCATATAGCAATTATTTTTTAGAAAATGTAGCAACTTTAAAGATAATGTAAAGATTATAAAATTAGCCCTGGCCAGTTTGGCTTAGCGGTTGGAGCATCGGCCTGTGAACCAATGAGTAGCAGTTTCGATTCCAGTCAAGGGCATGCACCTCGGTTGCGATTTGTTCCTGGCCCTGGTTGGTCGTGTGGGAGGCAGCCACCCCATGTGTCCCTTTCGTGTTGATGTTTCTCTTTCTTTCTCTCTTTCTCTCTCTCTCTCTCACTCCCTCCCTCCTACTCTAACTGAACAAAAATGGAAAAATGTCCTCAGGTGAGGATAAAAAATTAATAAATGTCATAAAATTAAATAGTGTAAAAGCAAAACATTGGCAACTTTCATAAATTAACATTTTTGTGCCACATTAAAATGTATAACAGTCTACTTCTCAAAAAACTATATTGGACATGAGTATAACTGCATCTTGGTTTTGCAAACTAGGCTTTATTCTTGTGATTCATATTTATCTTTGCTACTCATTTTCCTCCATTATTATGGGTATATGCACCATTTCAGTCTTCTATAAATTGGAGCAGAGAATGACTTCCCATTGATATCATTTAAAACATTTATATAATTTTGTTTTGCTGATGAAAAAAGAGAATGCCTTCTATGTTTTCATTAAAGAAAAAGTTGCTGTCAGCTCTCTTTTATCTATGAACTGTGTCTGTACCCACAAGCAGTTTGTATATGGACCCACACATCATTATTATTATTATTTGAAAATTATTTGTACAAGTATCCTGCCTCAGTTGTACCAAGCAAATTTTACCAAACAAATTACCTATTGTATACATGCATGGCTTTATTTAATTCTCCTGACTATGCTTATATAATTCTCAAAATTAATCTTCGGTGAGAAAAATGAAAGAAGCTAAGAAACTTGCTCATGTTACTAGATAACAGAGCAAGGATTCAAACCTAGGCCTCAGTAACTCAAGCCAAAACATAAGTTTCTGAACTCTGAGGTACACTATGCTATACCACTGTAAACAATAATTTCCATTGGATGCTCAATCTAGCTACTTTGATAATATACATTATTCTCATTTTACAGATAAAGAAACCTTAGAAAGGTTGAACAATATTAGTACTGCAGCAAGTAAGTGACTAAACTGAGATTCAAACCCAGGACTATCTCATGTCCAAGCCCCCACCTACAATGCCAATATCTTCTGTGCACCTTTTATGCAAAAAAAAAAAAAAAAAAAAAAAACAATGCTGAAAATAGCTAATTTAACTGCCCAAGTATTTTTCAAGATTTTCTTCAATAAATTCATTTGTTCTATAAATCAGTAGTAATTAGGATATCTTTCAGGAGTTGTACAAAGGGCAGTTAGAAGGAAGGGAAACCTAACAAATATATATGCTCATTTAAAAAAAATTGTAAATGTTACCTCAGAATGTTTGAAACAGTTCTTTCTTTCTTTTTTTTTTTTAAGTATCTTGGTTGTTGTTGGAGCCAATGTTTGAGGCAAAGAAGCTGCATTCAAATAAAATGTTTATCCAAATAATTGATTTATATATGGTAATCTTGAAGACAACCAGATGATCTTTTTAAAATAAGAATCTGTCCATTCACCCTCTCAAAACTCTTCAGCTAGGTTTAAGAGAAGTGGATATTAGATGCCCAGACAGGATATTTTCCTACTCATAATCTAGAAAATTGATTTATTTATAACAGTTGTTGACCTGCTGCCTACTCCATGAGCTAGGAATAAATTTTATAATTTTATATGGCTTTTTGAAATGAAAGAAGTTGAATATTTTATGACGTGAAAATATATTACATTTAAATTTCAAAATTCATAAAACATTCTATTGGCATACAGCCACACTCATTTGTTTACATACTGTCTATTGGCTACTTTTGCATTACAACAACAGAGTTGTGTTGTAGAAACTGCATGACCTACAAAGCCTTAGTTTGCTAATACTTGCAGCAGAGGGAGTAACAAGAGTGCAGACTTTGGAGTCAGACAGAGCTGGGTTCAAGACTCAGTTCTTGCACCTATGTAATGTGGCCATTTAATGAGAAGAGGTAAACTCAGAAGAGTGTCTTAGCGATTCTATCAAGGAGAAATGAGGATAAGTAGAGGTTTTTATGGTTCTTTTACTTGACAGTGTAATAATAGAAAATATAAGAATATAATAAAAGTGGAATTTTATAAAATACGTAATTGCCATTACCTTAGGCAACCTTTTCTCAATATTTTTACATATGTCACATATACTCATAAGGACTCCTGAGTGCTAATAACAGCAATCTCAATCCAAACTATCTTAAAAAATAATGGGAATGGTTTGTCTCTCAAAACTCAAAAATACAAATATAAGGCATGTTTCATACTCCATTGCTCTGGATTCGCTGTTTCTTCCCTATATTGCCCTCATACTGGCTTATGGCAACATGGCTGTAGCAGTTCCAGACTCCTCATCTATATAGAACATGGATACCCCCAACCATTGAACCAGAGACCTGAGCTACACTCTAATTAGGCCAATCTCAGGTCTCACACCCACCCCAGACCAGTCACAGTGGTGAGAGGAATGGGAGTCAATCCCACCCTAATTTCACTAAATGAAGGCAGATTGGATGCTGGGGAAAACCCAACATTGTCCACTATCAAATTGTTTATAAGATATTATGTATAATGTGTTTATAAGAAAACAAGCACAAAATGTGCTAGCTATTATTCCACTCTCAATCTCTCTTTGAAACTAATGCCACCTGTGTTTTTATTACAATAACCCTATTCCAAAAAGTTTGACAAGGATGGTTTGGTTCCTGCCTTAAATGTATGAAATCCTAGGTGTTTACATTAATAACATTTGAGTCCTCAGCATTTCATTTCTCTTGTAGCAACATCAAAAATCAATGTTTTAGGAACTATGAGTCTGAACTGCCTGCAGTGTGTTAGATCTAGTGATTATATCTAGAAGCTGTACTTGGCCTTCCCACATTGTTAGTATTGATATTCTTTGGGAGATTCTTGTATATCGGTGCAATACTAAAAAGTTTTAAATATTTATTTTCTTATAAGAAAGCTTTTATGCTTTTCAACTTAAGGTAACAACTATCATCTGTGAAGTTGATTGATGTTTTTATGTATGATGTGGTTTACATAATATAATTTGGGCTAGTCATAGGTGTTACAGAAAAGTTCAGAAATAAAATTATCTCTTAGCCCATATTTGGATTGTCTTTGTAAAAATCTATATGAAAAAAAACTGCAAAAAGCAAAGGTCTACTTTAACCTGCAATCCCTTGCAAATAAAATCTTAAGCTTTTAATGAAAAGGAAATGAGCTATTAATGCCAGAAAATCTGGCAAGAAGGGTTTTATTCCTATTTCAAGTACAAATTCTGGCTAGTTGTTATAATTCCTTTTTATGGGTCTTATAGTTTCCATTAAATAATTAAACATTCCTATCAAGCTTAACACCTGTTTCCTGAAAGGACTTTAAATTAGCACTGAAAAAAATGTCATATCTTATTGACACACATGAGATTTCTAATTCTTTACAGGATCACAGAGATTTAGAAAATGTATAACCTTTACAGTTGCAAATTTTGTTTTCAAATTGTTGAAATTATCACCTCCCCTTCTTTCTTAACCTCCTAGTACCGACTTTTCGACCATCAATGTTTATTCTTATTGCATGTAACTTATAGCTAAGTACAAACTAGAAAGAGTGACAGAGACTTAAGATCCCCTCCTCACATTAAGTTACCAACTCTAGGAATGTCCTTCATAAATCAAAACAGCTAATTAACTTCCTTGAAACAGCTTGTTTGCATCCCTCTGGGGAGGTGACTATGAGACATCTAGTTTAGAGACTTTTAATTAGTGCTTTTTAAGTTGAAAAGTGATGCAATCTCTGCTACTGTGAAATAGGGAACAAAGATAAGCTGAATAAGGATGGAGGAGAGAGAAACCAAATGACTTTTGTACATTTTCTAAGTTTAGAATGATTTAGTTGTAAGTTTTAAGTATTGTGAAGTCTCAAGTCAGCAGACATTGGGTTGTGCTTTCCAAAACATCTATTTTGAATTATCTGCCCCCTAGCAAGGTTTGAGCAGAATTTAAGGGACTTTTTTTTTTTTATCCAATATACTACATGGCCCCTGTTGTGATTTTGCGAGTTGGCCATTTTAACATTTGGGTGCGTTTTTTGGGGGAAGTGTGCATAACCTTTTAGGTGATGTTGCATCTCCTCAGAGAGAGTGTTACCTAATGCCTCTATATTCTTTGTCTGCAGGGCATCTGTATTTGGTAACTGGAAGTGGAATTGCGAAATGTGTCCATCTTATCACTTCTGTCTTCATTCACCAAGGGAGGGAGGACTTTCCAGCCCCCCTAGAAAAATCTCTGCTGCTGGTTAGGAAAATAAAAATTTCTGTTTATACAACTGACATTATTTTTAGATATGAAAAAGTAGTCATCTTAAACCATTCTGTTCAAAATGAATATTTATAAATAATTTTTAGAACTAATGCTGCATTTTTAATATTATAAAGAATTTTTTTCTTAGTGGAAACCTGCTTCTTTTCTTTCCTTCAGGAATGTTATAAGACATCTCAGTTGCTTTGTGAGTAATCAGATATGCAAATAGCCCCTCAAGAATCAAGCTAAATTTAAAGACAACTTACTTAGAAACACTGGAGAGTATATCATGGAGTGCAAAACTGAAGGGAAAGAAAAATACCAACATAGCTTGAATCTACTGAATAAAATTAAGAACATGAAAGAATTCGCAGAAATGATTGATGTAGTACTCATGGCAGAAGGAGAGAAATTTCCTTGCCATAGACTGGTCCTGGCTGCTTTTAGTCCTTATTTCAAAGCTATGTTCACCTGTGGACTAGTTGAATGTACTCAAAGAGAAATCGTTCTTTATGACATCACAGCAGAAAGTGTGTCAGTTATATTAAATTACATGTACAGTGCTTCTTTGGAGATCAATAATGCCAACGTACAAACTGTAGCTATGGCTGCCTATTTTATGCAAATGGAAGAAGTCTTTAGTGTGTGTCAAAAATATATGATGGACCACATGGATGCCTTCAACTGTGTAGGTATCTATTATTTTGCAAAGCAGATTGGAGCTGAAGATTTATCTGATCAATCGAAGAAATATTTATATCAGCATTTTGCTGAGGTAAGCTTACATGAAGAAATACTAGAAATTGAAGTGCAGCAATTTCTGACGCTTATTAAATCAGATGACCTTAACATATCCAGAGAGGAGAGTATTCTGGATTTAGTTCTGAGATGGGTAAATCATAACCAAGAATCACGCAAAGAGCATCTTGTTGAGCTTTTGAAGCAAGTCAGATTGGAACTTATAAATCCTTCTTTTTTAAGACAAGCCCTAAAAAGGAATACAATGCTTCTATGTGATGCAAACTGCATTGACATAATTCAAAACACATTCAAAGCCTTCAAGACACCCCAACAACATCCTCTAAATCTTCGTTATGGCATGGAGACCACTAGTCTTTTGCTTTGCATTGGCAATAATTCTTCAGGAATCAGGTCAAGACGTAGGAGCTATGGGGATGCCAGTTTTTGTTATGATCCTGCATCACGGAAGACCTACTTTATCTCATCTCCCAAATATGGAGAGGGTTTAGGAACTGTGTGTACTGGTGTTGTCATGGAAAACAATGCTATAATTGTGGCTGGAGAAGCAAGTGCCTCTAAACTCTCTAGACAAAAGAACAAGAATGTTGAAATCTATAGGTTTGTATCTAGCACTATATTTATGTTTGTTTTAATTACCTTGATTTGACATTAGCAACAGTAGGAGAAAATATAGCTGAAATAGTGACCACATCTTAAGTTACATGTAATCAAAATTATCCTATAATTACATATTTTACATATATAAAACTCGTAATTAAATCACCCATACTTAAAAAACTTTTTTTCTCCCTTTGTTAAGAACATATAGTTGAATTTGCATAAGTTAAATGTATGTTGTGATTTCATTGTATATTTTCTTTCTTTCCTTATTTATCAATATATTTTATTTTTAAGAGCTTGATATAAATTTTTTAAAATATATATTTTTATTATTGGCAGTATTACAGATGTCTCCCACTTTCCTTCCCTTTACCCCCCTCCTCCCAGCCCCTATTCACCTCGAACCTTCACCACACTGCTGTCTGCGTCCATGGGCTATGCATATAAGTATATAAGTTCCTTGGTTTATCACTTGTCATACCTCCCCTCCTCTGAGATATGTCAATCTATTCCATGCCTCCATGCCTCTGGACTTACTTTGTTGGTCAATTCATTTTGTTCTTTAGATTCCACAAATAAGTGAGATCATGTGATATTTTTTCTTTCTCTGACTGGCTTATTTCACTTAGCATAATATCTCCCAGGCCATCCATGCTGTCTCAGAGGGTAAGCGATCCCTATTTTGTACAGCTGCGTGGTATTCTATTGTGTAAATGTACCACAGCTTTTTTATTGATTCATCTACTACTGGGCACTTGGGATGTTTCCAAATCTTAACTATTGTAAATAACGCTGCTTTGAATATAGGGGTACATATATTCTTTCTGATTGATGTTTTGGAGTTTTTAGGATATATTCAGGAAGTGGGATTGCTGGGTGAAATAGGAGTTCCATTTTTAATTTTTTGAGGAAACTCCTTGCTGTTTTTGATAGTGGCTGCACAAGTCTGAATTCCCACCAGCTGTGAACTAATGTTTGTTTTTCTCCATATCCTCTCCAGCAAGTACTTATGTGCTGATTGATTGATTGACGATAGCCATTCTGACAGGTGTGGTTTTAATTAGCTTTTCTCTGATGATTAGTGATGTTGAGCTTTTTTATCATATGTGTATTAGACATCAGTATGTCCTCTTTGGAGAAGAGTCTATTCAGGTCCTTTGCCCATTATTTAATTGGATTGTTTGTCTTTTTTATGTTAAGTTGTATGAGTACTTTATATACTTTGGAAAATAACCCCTTATTTGATGTATCATTGGCAAATATGTTCTCCTAGAGAGTAGGCTTCCGTTTCATTTTGATGCTTGTTTCTTTTGCTGTTTCAAAAGTTTTTAATTTGATGTAGTCCCATTTGTTTATTTTTTCCATTGTTTCTCTTGTCCTAGGGGATGTATTAGCAAAAATTCTGCTATGTGAGATGCCTGAGATTTTACTGCCTACATTTTCTTCTAGAATTTTTATGATTTCACAGTTGACATTTAAACCTTTTATTCATTTTGAGTTTATTCTTGTGTATGGTGTAAGCTGGTGGTCTTGTTTCATTTTCTTTTACATATCTCTGTCCAGTTTTCCCAACACCATTTGTTGAAGACACTGTCTTTACTCCATTGTATGTTCTTGCCTCCCTTGTCAAATATTAATTTACCATAATGTGTCAAATATTAATTGAGTATATTGAATTCTGGGGCATATATTGTTCCATTGCTTATGCCAGTACCGGGCTTTTATGATTACAATAGCATTGTAGTATAGTTTGATCCCTCCAACTTTGTTCTTCTTTCTCAAGATTGCTGCAGCTATTCAAGGTCTTTTTTTGGTTTTATATACATTTTTGGAGTATTTGTTCTAGTTTTGTGAAGTATGCCATTGGCATTTTAATAGGGATTGCAATGAATCTATAGATTGCTTTGAGTAGTATGAACATTTTAATGATGTTAATTCTTCCAATCTATGAAGACAGTATATGCTTCCATTTGTTTGTATCTTCCTCTGTTTCCCTTTTCAATGTCCTGTAATTTTCCAAGTACAGGTCTTTTACCTCTTTGATTAAGTTTATTCCTAGGTATCTTGTTTTCATTGTTGTTACAATGGTAAATGGGATTGATTTTTTAGTTTCTCTTTCTGAGAGTTCATTATTGATGTATAAAAATGCCATCAATTTCTGGATGTTGACCTCGTATCTTGCTACTTTGCCGAATTCATTTATTAAATCTAGTAGACTCCTGGTAGAGTCTTCAGGGTTTTTTATGTACAATATCATGTCATCTGTGAATAATAATTTTTTTTCTTTCTTTCCAACTTGGATTCCTTTTATCTTTCCTTCTTGTCTGATCACTGTGACTAGGACTTACAGTAATGTGTTGCATAAGAGTGGAGAAAGTGGATATTTTTGTCTTGTTATTGTTCTTAAGAAAAATGCTTTACATTTCTGCCCATTGAGTATGTTGGCTGTAGGTTTCTCATATGTAGCCAATATTATGTTGAGTTATGATTCCTCTAGTCCTACTTTACTGACAATTCTTATCACAGAAGGGTGCTGAATTTTGTCAAATGCTTTTCTGCACCTATTGATGTGATTATGTGATTTTTAATTATTTATTTATATAATTACTTAATTTTTTAAATTTTTGTTACAGATGTTTCTCCTTTTTTTATCCCATTGACACCCTCCTCCCCATCCCCCTTACACCGTCCCTGGCTTTGTTGTCCATGTCCGTTGGTTATGCATACGTGCATATAAGTTCTGTGGTTTATCTCTTACCTCCCCTCACCACCCCCTCTTCTGAGGCCTGTCAGCCTGTACCCTGCTTCCACATCTCTGGATCTGCCCTAACCTCAGACTGTTATTATCATTATATTCCACAAATAAGCGAGATCATGTGGTATTAGTCTTTTCCTGCTTGGCTTGTTTCGCTAAGGATAATACTTTCCAGGTCCCTCCATGTCGTCTCAAAGGATAAAAGATCTTTCTTTCTTACAGCTACATAGTACTTTATTGTGTATATGTACCACAACTTTTTTATCAATTCCTATACTGATGGACACTTAGGCTGTTTCCAGATCTTAGCTACTGTAAATAGTGCTACTATAAACATGGGGGTACATATGTTCTTTCTGATAGGTGTTTCAGGCTTCTTAGGGCATTTTCCTAGAAGTGGGATCACTGGGTCAAATGGAAGTCCCATTTTTAATTTTTTGAGGTAACACCATATTGTTTTCCATAGTGGCTGCACCAGTCTGCATTCCCACCAGTAGTGTACTAGAATCCCCTTTTCTCCACACCCTTGCCAACACTTGTTGTTTGATGATTTGTTGATGGCGGCCATTCTGACAGGTGTGAGGTGATACCTCATGGTTGTTTTAATTTGCATCTCTCTGATGATTAGTGATGTTGAGCATTTCTTCATATGTCTGTTGGCCATTTGTATGTCCTGTTTGGAGAGGTGTCTGTTTAGTGCCTTTGCCCATTTTTTAATTGGGTTCTTTGTCTTCCTTTTGTTGAGTTGTATGAGCACTCTATATATTTTGAAAATTAACCACTTATCTGATGTATCATTGGCAATGATGATCTCCCAAACAGTGGGTTGCCTTTCCATTTTGATGGTTGTTTCTTTTGCTGTGAAGAAGCTTTTGAGTTTCATGTAGTCCCATGTGTTCATTTTCTCTTTTATTTCTGTTGCCTTAGGTGATGTATCAGTGAAAATTCTGCTGTGTATGATGTCTGAAAATTTGTTGCCTACATTTTCTACTAGAATTTTTATGGATTCATGGGTCACATTTAAGTCTTTTATCCATTTTGAGCTTATTTTTCTGTATGGTGTAAGTTGATGGTCTAGTTTCATTTTTTTGCATGTAGCTGTCCAACTTTCCCAACACCATTTATTAAAGAGGCTGTCTTTACTCCACTGTGTGCTCTTGCTACCTTTGTCAAATATTAATTGGGCATATTGCCTTGGGTCCATTTCGGGGTTCTCTGTTCTGTTCCACTGGTCTGTATGCCTATTCTTGGGCCAGTACCAAGCTGTTTTGATCACAGTAGCTTTGTAGTATAACCTGATATCTGGTATTGTGATCCCACCTACTACTTTGTCCTTCTTTTTCAAGATTGGTGTGGCTATTCACGGTCTTTTTTGGTTCCATATTAACTTTTGAAGTATTTGTTCTAGTTCTGTGAAATATGTCATTGGTATTGTGATGGGGATTGCATTGAATCTATAGATTGCTTTGGGTAATATGGACATTTTAATGATGTTAATTCTTCCAATCCATGAACAAGGTATGTGCTTCTACTCTTTTATATCTTCCTCTATTACTTTTTTCAATGTCCTATAGTTTTCTGCAAATAAGTCCTTTACTTCTTTGATTAAGTTTATTCCTAGGTATTTTAATTTTTTTGCTGCGAGAGTAAATGGAATTGTTTTTTCAGTTTCTCTTTCTGTGAGTTCATCATTGGTGTATAAGAATGCCATCAATTTCTTGACGTTAATTTTGTATCCTGCTACTTTGCCAAATTCATTTATTAAGTCTAGTAGATTTTTGATAGACTCTTTAGGGTTTTCTATGTATAATATCATGTCATCTGCAAATAATGACAGTTTCACTTCCTCCTTTCCAATTTGGATCCCTTTTATTTTTTCTTCATGTCTGATTGCTGTGGCTAAGACTTCCAGTACAATGTTAAATAAGAGTGGCAAAAGTGGACATCCCTGTCTTGTTCCTGTTCTTGAGGGAAATGTTTTTAATTTCTGCCCATTGAGTATGATGTTGGCTGTAGGTCATTCATATATGACCTTTATTATGTTGAGATATAATCTCTCTATTCCCACATTGCTGAACGTTTTTATCAGAAATGGATGTTGGATTTTGTCGAATGCTTTTTCAGCATCTATTGATATGATCATGTTTTTATTCTTCATTTTGTTTATATGATGTATAACATTTATTGATTTGCAAATATTGTACCAGCCTTTCACCCCTGGGATGAATCCCACTTGGTCATG